CGAGTTATAAAATGATAAACTATTCGGCAGAAAGTACGATAAAGTGTGTAAAATACTGTACATTCAAGTTATCAAACAATTCTTAAAGGGTGTTAATTCAATAGGACTGCGGCGAAAAAAAAGAATACTCAGTGAAGCTGAACTTTCCGCTCCAACAAATACTGCAGATTTCCGGATTTTCGGACTCACGATGATTTCGCTAGGAGTAATTTATAAGTTTTCTAAGAATATCCGGAACAGAAAATGATTCTGACACAGTTTCAGTACCTTTATAATACAAGAATATATAATTAGCCTCTATATCCTATCTCTTCCAGCAGAGCTCTACAGCAATTGCATAGCAATATGGACAGAAGCTGGAGCTCATCAAGCAAAGTGGTATCATAAAAGAAACATCTTCACTAGCCCTCCTTTTTTTCCATCTTCACTAGCCCTCCCTTCACTACCTCTCTTCGCTAGCCCTCTTTGTTGCACTTCTATTGATTTGGCCAGTTTTGGTGCTGATTTGGAACGCACACGACCCAACGGACCGAAGTATTTCTACTGTTTTATATATTTTTTAACTTCCATATTGTTTTATACAATTTTTATTCAAATTTATTAAATTTCGCTTGATTCCCAACTTACTGCATTTTTATAAATCTGATTTTCTATTTGTTTTATAGGTTTTCTATATCATTAGATTATATTTGGTGTATCGACCACCATAGTTCAAATCATATCCTTATACCCCAGGCACAGGAATGAATCAGAAAGGATTTCTACCATCACATTCATCATCCAAGTCCCCGTGCCTATCATTTCCCCATGCCTATCAAGTCCCCGTGCCTACCATCACTATCATTTCTGCTCATTCCTCGTAGACATTTCACAAAGAATATTAGAAAAATCGATTAAATCTAATGGGAAAGAATCATACCCATAAAATAAATGCGAGAAATGCTCGAAGTCATTTTTGGCCTCTTCTATTTCGGCAGACATTTCGCGAGAAATACTGGGGATTTTCGCAGCCTTCCTAGCACTCCTACTCGGTGTCGATTGACAGGGAGGTAGATTTGGTGAATTCAATTTCCTGAAAAACAGTATAATATTCTGGATATATAAAAACCAGTATCTAGTGTATTTTTTAATTTGACTTTGATACGCTAATTGGGTATCGCGTTGTTATTTCGCATCAGCGGAACTTTGCGGCTCCTCTGACTGATATCGCACCATTGCTAATAAATCTTCTGCTGATTCTTCCGTTAGTTTTGTTAGTTTATTTTTTCATTTTCTGCGGCAAAAACGCTAGACGTATGGCATCCCAACCACTGACTTTTTTTACATGCTCTTCACTACCGCCTATTAATGGCCTTGGTTTGTCTGTCCATAACGAGCAACGAGCACCAGATTGTCCACCTGGTGAAGCAATCACGTCAGCCTCGCCAGTAGCACAGCGATGTCAGACGACAGAACCAAAAGTAAGAAAGCTTCTTAAAAATCAGAATTCCTTCGCTATGACTTACAAAGATTTTAGTTCGGATGCCAAATTATTGACATTTGGACGCAACGGCGAGCGCAATCGTGCCTTTGGTAGCGATTTTAACTGGTGTATCCACGACAGACTCGGTGGTGGTAGCATAGTACGAGCTAACTGACGTATTGTTAACCACTGCCACCGAAAGCGTATCGGATTCACAGAACAAATCTATAGGAAAGCGAAATTTTACAAAACGTTGAGCTTTCTTTCATGACTTCTCATGATTTATTCCTACTGTTCAGATCGCATAAAAATATCTGTAACTTTCATGAAAAATAAAACGGTTTTGGGTAAAAACGAGAGACTGAAACATTTCGAGAAATGTAGGTATTATAACGCATCAATGTCGATTTGAAGTCGAAAAGTGCAGCATTCTAAAGTTCTTAATTCAATGTTTTCAGTTTTTAAATTCAGAACAATTTCGTTTTCATTTCTCCTAACTTCTTAATTTTTTCTCAGCTTTGGCAATTAAGCAGAAACAAGTCTTTCTCTTTTTGTTTTTTATAAACAGAATAAGTGGCCCAAAAAGCCGAGATTTCCGACCTACGAATAGTTAAAAAAGCATTTTTGAATGCAATAGTGAAAAAAAAAATGCTATTTTGAAACAGTTTTGGCCACAGTGACCAGCACTTTGGGGTTGAAAATTTGAAAAAGGCTGCCATACTGGCTTGGGGAAAAGCATACTGGCTGGGAAAAGCATACTGCCATACTGGCTCAGTGAAAGTAAACATACTTTCAACGATTCCCTTATTACTTCTTGCACTATTTCCGGTATTTCGT